CCCTTTCTACCCTCCACCACACTGCCACTTCGAAATCCCTCCAATACATCGTCACTGTTTGTATGCCTGTATGTTAACACCATCGTCCTTTTACGATGTGCGACTGTATTTATGTATAGTATGTATTAATTAAAAAAATACTGCATGTAAAATTGAACGTATGTACATGCACACACACACACACACACACACACACTATGAGAAATTGTCTTGCCATCTTATTTATTCTCGAAAAAAAAACATCATTAAAGCACATGCACATCATATTCGTTATTAATATCAAAATATGAAAAAAATGGTCATGATTTGAGAAAAAAAATGAACACAAAAATACCCTCCCCTTTAAGAAATGTCTTTAAAAATATACAAAACAAAGAGACTCCAACCCTTTAATTAACTATGGACACCACGCCCGGGTCTCTAAGTCTGCCGCGGGCGTGAGGAACTTCAATCACAAACGCCCAAGACAGGAGCCAGGAGGTCACCCAACCACCTGCAGATTAAAGCGTTAATTAAACTTGCACAACATGCTCATTTTTTGCCCTGCTAAGAGTTGATTAACGACGGTTCTTTACGTAGTAACTTCGTAAACATATTAATTTTATGCTTGTTTCTTCTTTATTGTTATATATATATATATATATATATATATATATATATATATATATATATATATATATATATATATATATATATATATATGTGTGTGTGTGTGTGTGTGTGTGTGTGTGTGTGTGTGTGTGTGTGTGTGTGTGTGTGTGTGTGTGTGTGTGGTGTGTGTGTGTGTGTGTGTGTGTTTGTGCGTGTGTGTGTGTGTTTGTGGCGTGTGTGTGTGTGTGTTGTACATATATTTTTTTTCTTCTTATTTCAACATTCGTACATATGCTAGACTGGAAACCTCCCATGCGCGGGCAAGTCCTTTTCAAGTCGGTTCATTCTTGCACAACTTTTGTTTTGACTTGTATAACGTTAGTGATGGCAGATACATTATTCATGCATCGCTATTGAAATGGGTTGTCATTGATGGTTCAACATGGTATGGTGCAGTTTAATTGCATTAAACGGGCATTTTGACAACTTTCCTCAGTTTCCAGTTTGGTGATTATGTATATAGATACATAAATTTATACACACACACCACACACACACACACACACACACACACATGTATATATATAATATGTATATATATAATAATATATATATATATATATATATATATATTATATATATATATATATATATATATATATATATATATGTACTTATACATGTGTGTGTGTATGTGTGTGTGTGTGTGTGTTGTGTGTATGAAGTATGTATCAAGCTATCAGCGAATCTATTCCTCACTGCCGTTTATCTGTTTATTATCAATACTCTTTCCGCCCCGGTGTCCCGCTTCCTAATCCCAGAGAAGCGCCTCGGACGAAGAGAGCGTTGATGAAAGCAAACATCGAAGGCGCTAAAATGTGAATCCACTCAAGCCTTGAAATACAGGCGACCTTAAGAGTCTATCCGCTCTATCGAGTCACATCACCTTCATAGAAGTTATTTTCCATCCATTGTTATTTCTTCCGTTGTTATGTTTGTCTTTTGTCTCTTCTTATGAGCATCGGAATCCCTTTGAACACATTTTTAATATGAAGGTGTATTACGGTCTGATATTTTCACTGTAAACACAGCTAGGGAAGTTCGCTTGTGTAGCAGTCTCATGTTTATTCTCCTGAACGACTGTACTTCCCTTGCGTTTGTAAAGAAAGGAAAAGAGAAATTCTCTTCTTTATTTTGCCCTACGGAGGTGTCGCTCATGTCGTTGTTGGATGCAAATGGAAGTTCATGGTGCAGTGTATACAAATATTAAACTTCGTATCGTTTGTGTTTTCCACCTCCACCTCCTTTTTTTCTATTTCCTTTCATCCACGTTCCATTCCTTCTCCACCCCCTCCCCTTCACTATCCTTCATCTACTTTTACTCTTCCCTCTCTTCTGCATCCCGTTCTTCCTCCACTTCCTTCTTAATCTCTTCCCCCTTTTCGTCTTTCACTTCCTCCCTATCTTCCTCCTCGTCCCTCTCATCCACCTCCCGGTTGTCCTCCTTTTACTCCTTTTCATAATTTTCTATTTTCTTCTTCTGTTAATTCGTCCTCCACCTTCTACCTCTCTCCTCTTTCTTCTCTACCCTCTCTCCCACCACCTATTGTTCCAGCGCCACCTCCTTCTCCTTCCACTATCCACTCCTTCCTCAGTTCGTCTTCCTCCTCCTTCTTCTCGTCCCTCTTTTCTTTTTCCCAGACTTCCTCAACCTCCACCTCTTCCTCCTTCAGGATCATCTCTCCTCCTTGAGCGATTCCTCGAACCTCTTAAGTCCCTCCCACACTCCTGTGAACATGAGATCGTTCTCTCAAGTTATAGAACAAAGGGGATTTGATCTTCATGAACACGGCTTCTTGCGGGGTTGTTCTGCTCTAAACGACGTGCATAACATCAATTAGATACGGGCAATCTGTGAGAGAGGGAAAGAGGGAGAAATTGGCGGAGATAGGTTGGAAAGAAAAGGCAAAGGGAGGGAGGGAAAAGGAGATGGAGGGAGAGAGAGAAGTGCTGGGAGGGAGAGGAAGAAAGAGAGAGGGTGAGAGAGGGAAGTGCTGGGAGGGAGAGGGAGAGAGAGAGAGAGGAGAGAGAGAGAGAGAGAGAGAGAGAGAGAGAGAGAGAGAGAGAGAGAGAGAGAGAGAGAGAGAGAGAGAGAGAGAGAGAGAGAGAGAGAGAGAGAGAGAGAGAGACAGACAGACAGACAGACAGACAGAGTGAGAGAGCAAGAAAGACCGAGCAGGAGACAGACAGACAGGTTTGACATCTAACGTGAACAAACAAAAACACCGCAAAAAAAAAACGAAAAAAAAACACACTCAGAATATAAATAAAAGGCACATAGAAGGACAGGCAACCAGAAACCAGAAATCAATAGTCATTGCATAGGTTGAGGGTTTATGGCACAAATGCGACGCCTCTAATAACCAACGGAATTTGCAATACAAAGTTCAATGGCGCGGTGATTGTCTTCGGTGTCGGGTTCCTGTACACTACGCCCTGGATATTGACTAGCAGAGGGGGAGACTCCGGCCGAATGTGGACTCGTGGGCTTGGATTGGACTTTCGTGTACTTGTATTGGGCACGTATTTATTTATACGAATATACATATATGGGTGCGTCTCTCTTTCTGTCTGTCTCTGTGTTTGTCTGTCTCTGTCTGTCTGTCTGTCTGTCTCTGTCTGTCTGTCTGTCTCTGTCTCTCTCTCTCTCTCTCTCTCTCTCTCTCTCTCTCTCTCTCTCTCTCTTCTCTCTCTCTCTCTGTCTCTGTCTCTCTCTCTCTCTCTCTCTCTCTCTCTCCTCTCTTTTACACACACACACACACATAAATATATTATATATATATATATATATATATATATATATATATATATATATATATATATTATATATATATATATATATATATATATATATATATATAATATATATATATATACATATATATATATATATATATATTATATATATACTTATAATAATATATATATATATATATATATGTATACTATATGTGTATGTATATTTACACACACCCATGCATGAATTCATATTTGAGTGTGTGAAAAGATATATAGACATTGCTTGAATGTATATATATAAGTATATGAATAACTGATAAGTTAAAAATGGCCAACCTCTACTCTCAGATATTAAAGTAAAAGGTAGAAGTTCTTCGTTAAATCCCCTTGTCCATCAATAGTTTATTCGATAGTGTTGCTATTTGTATCGTTGTTTTTTTTTTTTTCCTTCCATCCTATATGCATTTACCTTAACCTTTTAATAAAACATATAGACAATACTAAGTAAAGTGTTTGAACGAATGAATAAGCGCATTAACGATCACTTATGAAATTTCTGCACTTCAACGCGAAATAAAACAAAAATAGAAGAGAACCAAATATTTGTACAAAGACGTGGACACATATTAGGACCTTAAATGGGGCGGGCTGGCGTTAGGAAGGGCAACCGGCTGTGAAAAGTGCTTGTCAGACAAACTTTAAAGCGGATTAAGGATGGAAAGACAAATAATCCGAACTGGCAACTAAGAACAGGGTCTGTATATAAGAGAGGGTTGCCAGAGATGTCTTTTCTTGTCTTGTTTTTTTTTTTTTTTATTTTCTTTCTTTCTTTATTATTATTATTATTATTATTATTATTATTATTTATTATTATTATTATTATTATTATTATTATTATTAATATTATTGTTATTTTGATAGCAGCGGTATGTGAGTCTGTTTTACACCCTTTTAGGTATTTATTATTTATTTTATTTTATTTATTATATATTATTCATTAGTGGAGGTGGCGTGCAAAGTTATTAAGGCAAATTTATTTATCTTCATATATTTGGCTGAATAGTTTGGTGATACTTATGGTGTAAATAATAACTAGTGCAAACTGCGGAGACAAAGAATAAACAAATAAATGAGAATAAGTAAATAATAAGGAAAAATAGATAAGGGTACTCTCCTCTCCCTCTTTCACTCTCCTTCTACCTTTCGCTTTCCTTTTCCCTTTTCATTTCCCTTTCCCCTTCCCTTCCCTTTTCCCTCTCCTCCTACCTTTCCCTTTCTCTCCTCTTTCTCCTTAAACTCACCCCCCTTCTCCTTCGCTCCCTTAACCCTCCCCTCCCTCTCCCATCCTGCTTATTTCTCTAAGTTCTTGTTCCTCCTACTTTACCCATCACTTTTTTTTCCTCTTTAATTCCCATCCGTTTCCCTTTCCCCTATCCATTTTCTATTTAAGCCCCTCCTCTCTCTCTCTCTCTCTCTCTCTCTCTCTCTCTCTCTCTCTCTCTCTCTCTCTCTCTCTCTCTCTCTCTCTCTCTCTCTCTCTCTCCCTCTCACTCACTCTCTCTCTCTCTTTCTCTTTCTCTTTTCTCTCCCTCTCTCTCGCTCTCTCTCTC